GAGTTATTATTTAGTTCATTTAGTGATCTATTATTCAAGTATCATTTAGTTTTCATTATTCTAAAGGCGATAGTTATAACAAATTTCGTTATGAAACTCGGTAAGAGTCGTACGTTTTGGGATTAGTTCAGTTGTTGTAAATTGACGTCACATTACCGGAACCTTCTGTATTCTTCTCGTTGCATTTAAAATATCGCCATTTACGGCTAAACTAACAATCACGAAGTCTAATTTCACTTTCACTAACTTCACCTTTTCAGACTTAACTTACTTTGCTCACTTGGTCGCCTATATATATATTTTGCCCAACTGAGGCCCAAAACGTTTACAAAACTAGACCTCATGTTGATTCCATCAATCTCTTCATAAAATTCACCATTGAACTGAAAAACAGAATTTTCATGGCAAATTCTATCAGTTACCTAAAAATATTGTCTGTCAGGTTCATTAACATATTCCTTGTCTACGAAAACAAGATTAACACAAAAATTAGTGAGCAGAGAGTCAATAGCTAAATAAACATTTTAATCAAACATCAAGTTTCTGACATTATCAAAAAATCAAAACTGCCTTTCACTATGTAGCTAATAAAAGTAAATTCTGTTAAAAACGAACATAATAATTTAGAAAGTTTGTAACTGAAACAGTCTATGTTGGAAATGATAGGTTTAATGGGGCAATCAGAGTTGTGGATCTTAGGCAGTCCATAAAGAGTGCCTATGCGGGAACCAACTGGTCTAATTGTGTTATAAGTATTATCATCCAGGGCAGAAGTTTTCTTCAAATTTAGTAACAATTTGTTTTTTCTTGAAGTAGAGGGTCTTTCGATAGTTTTGAAAACTTGTTAGTAACACAGATCATTAATAACAATACCTAGTTTTCTACACTATGATATTGTTACGACAGTGGAAGTCACGTGACGTAGGTAACACGTAATGATTATCTAGAAGATTCGCGAAAAACGCTAGTGCGAGCTATGTACTCGTTTGTGTTACGACAGCGGAAGTCGAGTGACGCTGGTAGCACGTGATGAGTGTCTAGAAGATTCTCGAAGAGGCTACGCAGGCGCTATTAACGTATATAAGTGCGCTAGACAAGGAATCTATCGACAAGCTCATCTCAAGCAGATATCATGTCTATCAATAATGGGTAAGTCACCAAATTCTTTAACTACATTACATGTCAACATTCAAGGTGGCC